ATGGAAGTGAAAAGTTGATGTTATTTTTATAATAATAATAACGCATAAAACCAAAATATCCAAGTTTTTTATGTTATGCTTAGGCAGTGTTAAAATTAATAATGAAACATTTAACATACAAGCAGCCAAGGAAAAAATGTCAAGCAGATAATAAACCATGCAAAGCCAAACACTTTTGCATAAAAGATAAACCTTAGAGGAAAACAAAGGGATACCTACTTTCTGCTGCTAGAAGTCCTAGGAGGAAGGCAGCATATGGATAAATAAACAATATGATTTTAGAGCAAGTAGGTTATTAAGCCACAGCTGGCCTCACCAGATGAGTCACAGGAAGTATGATCCTCCAGCTCACCACAAAATGAGTCCTTGTGTTCCATGAACAAAATCATTGCTACTATTTAGCATTTATAGACATCAAAACATTGGATCCTAACTCTGACTTTTTAGGTTTGAAATATGAAAAAAAGATTAATCTGCCTTGAATTAGTAAGCAGAACAAAGACACTGTTGAAAATGACATTAAACCAAATAACTCTTTTTTTTAATATTTATTTTTTTTTTATTTCAGTGAACATCTACAGAGATTTTAGTTATGGTAACATTCATTATAAATGTATTCCTATAATCCAAAAAGAGAAAAATCTCTCAAAGAAAAACTGATATTATAAATAGCATACTTCAACGTGTTGGACTTTTCTTTAGATGATAAATTGGGAAGCTGATAAATTTGAAATTGTGGTTTTTAATATTTATAATTTCCTAATGGAAACACTACTACTTCTTAGCATGATAGGACTATTTAAGAATAAAAATACATGCTATATTTGGTAAACAGGCAGCTTTACCATTCGCTCAGAATCTGTGAAGTTCTTATGTGAGGCCAAATAAAATATTACTGGCCTACTAAAAACAGCCATGCATTCATTAAAAGAAGTTTGTTGGTTGGTAGCTAAATTGGTAAATAATGCTGTTAATAATATTACAGTGCCTTCTTAAAAATGGATAATGATTAAAAATTACTTTTAAGAAGGTATGAATAATTCTTGATAACACTGAAAAACAGGAGAATATTAGAATTTCCTTCAAAACATTGTTTTGTCATTAACTTTTTAGTATATAGATGTTTCTTCTTCATTGGCATAGGTCATAATTTTTATTTACCATATCAAGTGTTATAAGATCATTAAGATCCAAGAAGAAGAAAAATATTTTTTCCCCCCGTGCAGTGTGACTGCAGGAAAGGCATAAAAGAATGCTAGGCCCCAACTGAAATGCTTGCAGAATGCCTACAGAACATAAAAGATGTTTCTTTTGCTGTTTTAAAATTAAATGTTATTACAATAAAACACTCTTTCAACCAAATACTGCACTGAAATACTGCATAGTGCCACTGTTGTAAAAACGGGACTGACATCGGGGTTGGGGGGAGACTGAGAAAGAAGGGATAAATAATATATACTGTATTGAAACAGATGAGAGAACTGTTTAAGAGGGATATGTGATTAGGTATTATTGTCATGACAGGAGTCCAGAACAAAGGCTACATAGTGGAGTGGACTTGGGGGAAGGGATTGTATAACAATGAAAGAATTTTTCTGTCACTTTCAAAGAGAAGAGCGAACTGTAGGGGAGGGGATGTCAGGGAGAAAAGTGCTACAATGAATGAATGGAAATAAAAAATACTACTGAATACTCAGCAAACTAAAAAAAAAGGAATAAAATTATGCAAGAAAATGTATTTAATTTAAAAAAATCATATTTAGTATACCATGGATGGCAAATTGAAGAACAGCATCATATTGTCAAAAAGAACATTTTAAGAGCATTCTGAAGCAGTGTTCTCAGTAATAGGATAATATCGATATGACTAAAAGGAAGACCAGTTGATACAAATAGTATTCAAATTTATACACTAATAATTAAACAAAGATGAAGACATTTAATTTTTTTTTACCAACTTCTGCAGTATCCAAGATACATTGGTAATTACTGGTTATTGGAATGAAAAAAGTTGGAAACAATGAAGAAAAATCAATAGTTAGAAAATATGGCCTTGGTGATAAAAACAATGCATGACACTTTATAAAACAATTTTGTAAGACCAATGCAGGTATTCATTGCAAATACCTTTTCAATAACATAAATGGCAACTAAACATGTGGACCTCAGCAAACAAAACACACAAGAACCAAGTCCCCTATACTTCAGTGTGCTACTCCAACATGTAGATGATGTAACTTTGCTTGCTGACAGAAAAGATTTGAAGCATTTATGGATAAAGACCAAAGTCTATAGTGTTCATCACAGATTACATTTCAACCTAATGATAACAAATAATCTCACAACTGTACCAACAAGAAACATCATGATAAAGATAAGATTGAAGTTGGCAAAGACTTCCTTTTATTTGGATCTACACAGAAATTACAATCCCCATCCATGTAAGCAGAAGTCAAGAAATCAAATGATGTATTTCATTGTACAAATCTGCTGCATAAAAAAAATTAAATAAAACAACAACAAAAAAACCAAAACAAAAATCTGCTGCAAGAGACCTCTTTAAAGAGTTAAGAAGCAAAGATAATGTCTTGAGAACCAAGGAATGTCTGATTTAAGCCATGGTATTTTTCAACTGTTTCACAGGCATGGAAAAGTTGGACAATGAGTAAGACCAAAAACCTGGTGGCTTTGTTGGCAGAAGATAGTGAAAATACCATGGACGGACAGAACAAACAAATCTGTCTTGGAAGAACAGCCAGTATGCTCCTTAGGAAGGACAGCAGTAAGTTCTGGTTGTGTAGTTGAGAGGGAGTTTCACTGCTAACCTAGAAGCAGCAATGATGAGAATTAGTCTCACATATTATGGATAAGTTATGAGGAGAGACCAGCTCTGGGAGAAGGACATCACGCTTGTTCAAGGAGATGGTCAGGAAAAAGGGGAAGAATCTCAGTGAGATGGATTGACACAATGGCTACAACAATGGGCTCAAATATAGCAAAAATTTTGAGGATGGTTCAAGTTTGGGAAGTATTCTGTCCTGTTGTAAATAGGGTCACTATGAGTAAGAACCATCTTGAAGACACCTAACAACAATATAAATGTAGACTTTTTTTTCTCCTAAAAGAAAAACCCGGTTCCTCACAAAAAGGAACATTTAACAGCTCATTGATCTCTAGCCAGGGAGAAGGATGACATAAGACTAGGCTTGTGAAGCTAATCCAAGGATGACACTGTTCTCCATCCCATTGCTGAAGATGAAAATAGCATTAGAGATCCTGACTAAAACCTCAGAGATTATTCTAAATATATTTCAAATATGTGACTACATTATATAGGCACAGTATAACATAAAACAAAAATCAATGACCAGACCCACTCTCCCTACATAGGTTTAACTGTAATGTGAGTGTAAAAAGAAAAGAAATTTAAACTGACAAAAGGAGGTTTGAGTCGTAGGCAGATAGAATAAAGTGGACAGGAAATGACAGTGAAACCATGTACATGAAACGGTAGGGAGCACTGGGAACATAGTTATAAACACAACCATAATATGGTCTTTCAGGTGGTATGAATTCTAGGTAATTGCCAAGCCAGCATAAGAAGAAACCAGTAAGGCCTTGTTCTCAGTCTCTTCTTGGAGATTCTCATTTCTGAATGTTTTTGGATATCTCCAAAACAGAGGAAACTCTACATCCTGATTGGTAAATATTGTAAAGAGAAAGTATATGGCTGCTATAAGCTCAAACCAATTGGTAAAAAAAAAATGCTGTGTGTCCATATATACAGACAGAGAGGGAAGAAACATATTTACTGGGGAAATATTTACTGCCTCATGGTCTTAAAAGGAAAGAAGTATTAGTATACCCATTCTTTCTGTATTGTTAACTGTGAAGGATAAACAACAGATGCTTTAGGAAGGTACCTGGGCCTGATTCCAATGGTAACACGTTAATACTGACTGAACCAGTCAAAGAGGAGGAAAATAAAATCATCAGGAACAAATATTGTCAATCACATGATAAATACTGAATGATCCTAATGAGAGAAAGAAGATAAGTGAAATCCAAGGGACACTGACCCAAGAGTTTAGTAAGTAAGTAAATAAAGAAAGTGTAGACACTTTAACACAAATATATGAACCTACATATCAACAAATCCTTTGGAGAATAACTCACTGGCAGTACTGTTTTAGAATATGATTTTGTGAACCATGATAGGTTTTCTCAGACATATTTGGATATATGTGTTACAGGCTTTATAAAGACAGGAATGTTACCTTTGCTTCAAGAGTTAATTTACAAGACAGTTTTACATTTAATTATTAAATTCAAAGCAATGTTGTCACAAAGTCTAATCTAACAAAGATGAAAACTATAAAATACATTAGAAATTACTGTTAAGGTAGAAGACAACCAAAGATCTAAAGATTTAAAAAGAACTGCAATGTTTGACTGAATGAACTACAACATTGGACTTGGAGTAATAAAAGGGAAGAAGTAGTTCTGAGATTAAAGAAAGAAAGTGAATTGTTGCTGTTAAAGTCGTAGCTCTAAGCCCTGCCCTATCCTAAGTCAATCTCACTGTCTTTGACACATCTATCCTTATTATCCCAGTTACTGTGTCAATCCATTTCATGCAGAGTTTTACTCTCTTGTGCTGTCCCTCCACCCTTCTGAACATGATGTCCTTTTCCAAGGACTGGTCCCTACTGACCACATGCCCAAAGTGTGTAAGATGGAAATAAAAAAAAAAAATCCTTGCCTCCAGGGAGAAATTTGGTTTCATTCACTGCAAGAAAAACATCTTTGTTCTCCTGGTGGTCCATGTAGGAGGGAAAAATAACTTTCATCTTAAAATCAAAGAGAAAAGACATGTGCAGATGGGGTTTAGTTTCTGGCAAAATTCTTTAGAATCAAGATGGCAATCTTACTAAGCTTAGAGGAAAAGTTTATTGACAAGGTACTAGAAAGGATTCATCTTGGTGAATTAAAAAAATTACCTGAGGAGGTAGGGTCTTCAGAAAAATCTGGTAACTCTTCAGGGGGATCCCCATAGAAGGAGTTGAATTTATGACTCGACACAGCTGCTAGTACTGCACCCTAAAGCAAAGAGATGGAAAGAAAATGATAACAAAGATACAAATATGAAAACATTAACAAAAACTTATATTGTTTTAAAAGATTATTTAGAAATTCAAATCTATGTAAGATATGATTTTAAGTAATTTCCTATTCCTTTAAACAAATTAGAAGAGGAATGTGGCATCAGGGTCAGAGGAAGATTCATCAACAACCTGTGTTATAGAGACGACACAACCAATTCCATTTCAATTGCTGGTTATGTATCTGTAAGCTGGACAGTGAATAACAATGACAGAAGAATTTATGCCTTTCAGTTGTGGTGCTGGAGAAGAGTAATGAATATCCTATGAACCACAAACAGAATGAACATATATGTCTTCTTGGAGAAATTATATCAAGAGTGTTCATTGGAGGCAAAGATGAAGACACTTCATCTCATACACTTTGGGCATGTTGTTGTTGTTGAGTGCCATCAAGTCGAATATGACTTCATAGTGACTCTATGAACAACAAATCTAAACCATGTTGTATCCTGCACCATTCTTAACATTTCAAATATACTTGATCCCATTGCAGCGGCCACTGTGTCAATCCATCTCATTGAGGATCTTCCTGTCTTTCACTCACACCTCATCTTTCCAAGTATGATGTTGTTTTCCAAGGAATAGACTCTCCTAACAACTTGCTCAAAGTATGTGAGATCTTTGCCTCTGAGGAACACTCTGGCTCCACTTTATCTAAGACAAATCTGTTTGTCCATTTTGGAAGTCCATGGAACATTCGACACTCTTCCTTAACAGCAAAACTCAAAGGTATCAATCCTTTTTTCATCCTTATTCACTGTCCAGCTTTCAGACGCATAGTGGGTGATTGAAAAAAAACATAGATTGAATCAGGTGCACCTTAGTCTTTAAGCTGACATCATTGCTCCCAGTGCAATATGTCTTTTGATTTCTTGATTGCTGATAAAGATGATGTTGATTATGAATATAAGCAAGATGAAATCATTGCCAATTTCAATCCTTTCTCCATTTATCATGATGTTGCCTATTGGCCCAGTGGTGAGGATCTTAGTTTTCTTGATGTTAAGATGTAATCCAAATTGCAGGTTGATCTTCTGCAACAAGTGCTTCAAGTTCTCCTTACTTTCAACAAGTACGGTTGCTGTATAATGAAGATTGTTGATTAGTCTTCCTCTGATCTTGACACCACATCCTTCTTCACAAAGTCCAGATTCTTGAGTGATTTGTTTAGCATACAGATTGAAAAGGTATGTAGAGAGGATATAATCCTGACGCATGCCTTTCTTGATGTTAAACCATGCTATGTTCCCTTGCTCTGTTCAAACAATAGCTTCTTGGTCTGGGTATAGGTATTTTATGTTGTTGTTATGTGCTGTCGAGTCGCTTGTGACTCAAAGCGATCTTATGTACAAGAGCCCTGAAACCTGCTCTATACTGTGGCAATCTTACTGTCTCTGACACACTTACCCTCATTACCCCAGTCACTGAATCAATCCAACTCATTGAGGGTCTTCCTCATTTGCACTGTTCCTCCACCCTTCCAAACATGATGTCCCTCTTCAAGGATTGGTTTTCCCTTGCAACATGCAACAAATATGTCAGATGAAGGCTCAGAATCCTTTCCTCCAAGGAGCAGCCTGGTTCACCCTCTCTAGGACAAACCTGTTTGCTCTCCTGGCACTCCATGGTATATCCAATACTCTTCTCCAGCACCACAGCTCAAAGGCATCTTTCTATCATCCCTAGTCATTGTCCAGCTTTCTGACGCATAGCAAGTAATTGTGAAGACTATGGCCTGGATCAGGTGCACCTTAGTCTCCAAACTGTCATCGTTGCTTTTCGGTACTCTGGAGAGGTCCCTGACTACAGACTTCCCCAATGCTGTACAGAGGTAACTCATGGTTGCTGTGAAGCTGAACACTGTGACACTGATGAGTCAAATGCAAGAATGGTTACCCATGGTGAACAGTGTTTGGTGAAGTTCCCCGATTAAAGCAAGCTTGGAAGCAGGAGTGGCATCCACTTCCACAATAGCTTGCCTCTGGAAACCCTATGAACCTAGAGAGAGGACGGAAGTTATACAGGAGGTGTCCAGGACTTTCATTCATAGGGTTGCTATGAGTCGCCTGCGACTTAACACTTAACTACAACAACGTGCCGTCCTGTGGAATTACTGTTTCAGTAACAGGAACAAGAAAAGTTGCCTTATTTTATTTTATAATTTTTGTGTGTGTGCCATCAAATTGGATCTGACAGGTACAAGAGGAGGTTGTCCCTCCTTCTCCAGCAGAGCATCTGGTGGATTTGAACTGCTCACCTCTGAGATTGCAGTGTAGCTTCCTGCCACTAGGCCACCAGAACTCCCTGAAAAGTTGCTTTTAAAACTGTTTAATTCTACAGGCATAGGTCAGAATATCTGGGTTTGTTCCCTGCTTCTTCTATTTTCCAGCTACATGACACCAATTAAATAGTAAGCCATTTCATTTCTCTAAGTTTTCTTATCTGTAAAAGTGTGGATAATAAAATCGGTATAACTTACTTTTACAGGAGTACAAAAATTCATAATGTATACAAAATTGTTCTGAAAATGAAAAGGGTTTGGTTGTGGGTTTGTGTTTGTGTGTGTGAAGCATTTTTTGTAAAATAAAATTTTATTTTAATTGTGATTTTAATAAAAACTTTCAGAGAAGTTAGATTTTCATTCATTCATTCATTGTTGCACATTTTACCCCCTCACCCTCTTGTCTCCCTCTCCCAATTCACTTTTATTCATTCTTCCACAATTACCTATCTTCCCCCACCCCAGTCCTCTGTGTAATAATATATCTCTTATTCTGGGCTATTGTCATACATATAGTGCTTAATCATATATTCCTTTTAGACAGTTCTTTCTTTCATCTGTTCCAATGCAATGTTCATTATCATATCCCACTCTTATCCCATTTTCCTCCCAACCACTCATGTCAGACCTGCTTTATAACAGTGCTCCTTTGCAGTTTTGACTGAGATATTTCACTCAGCATGATGTACTCCAGGATCCCCCAGGCTGTGTAATGTTTTACAAGTACATTGTTTTTGAGTGCTGCATAATATTTCATTTCATGAATATACCATAGCTTTTATATCCATTCATATGTTGATGGGCACTTGGGTTGTTTCTATCTCTTTGCTATTGTAAATAATGCAGTAGTAAACACGGATGTGCATATATCTGTTTGGATTGTGATTATGGTTTCTTTAGAGTATATTGCCAGTAGTGGAATTGCTGGGTCAAATGGTATTTCTATTTCCAACTTTTTGATAAAGTGCCATACCACCTTCCATAGTGGTTGCATCATTTTACACTCCCACCAGCAATGAATAAGGGTTCCCATCTCTCCACAACCTTACCAGTATTTGCTATTTGCTGTCCTGTTAAATTTTGCTATTCTGACTGGGGTGAGATGATATCTCATAGTTGCTTTGATTTGCATCTTTCTGATAGCTAGGGATGTGTTTATTTGCCATCTGAATGTCTTCTTTGGTGAAGTATCTATTCATATCCTGTGCTCATTTTGCTACTGCGTTGCTTATCTTTCTCATTAAGGTGCTGGAGTATGCTATACATTTTAGAGATGAGTGCCTTATCAGATATGTCAATACCAAATATTTTTTTCCCTAGTCTCTGGCTTTCCTTTTTATCCTTGTCTATTTCCTGTTCTCCAAGGGAATGCCTTTAATCTCTCTACATTGATAATGATGTTAGTTCTTGGATTTGCATATATAAGTTTCACTTTTTTGATGAAGTTCCCCTCTATTCCTATTTTGCTAAGTGTTTTAATTAGGAAAGGGTATTGGATTTTGTCTAAGGCTTTTTCTGCATCAATTATTATGATCATGTGGTTCTTGTTCTTTGCTTTGTTAATGTGATGAATTACATTGACTGTTTTTCTTAAGTTGAACCATCCTTGCATAACTGTAATGAATCCCACTTGATCATGGTGAAATATTATTTTATGTACTATTGGATTCTATAGGCCAGGATTTTATTCAGGATTTTTTTATCTATGTTCATGAGAGATATTGGTCTATAGTTTTCTATTTAGTGGTGTCTTTACCTGACTTGGGTACCAAGGATATGTTTGCTTCATAGAATGAGTCTAGGAGAATTCCATCTCTATTTTCTAAAATAGTTTATGTAGAATTGGTGACAGTTCTCTCTAAATGTTTGATAAAATTTACTTGTAAAACCATCTGGTCCAGGGCTTTCTTTGGCTGGAAGTTGCTTTATTACCTTTTCAATTTCTTCTTTTGTAATGGGTCTGTTCAGGTCTTCTACTTCAATCTATGCCAGTTTGGGTAGATTATGAGTTTCTAAGTAATTATTCATTTCTTCTAGGTCTTCATATTTGCTTGAGTATAGTTATTCCATAATGTTCTATTGATAATTTTTAATTTCAGTTGGTTCTGTTGTGACATTGCCTCTTTCGTGTCTTACTTGGATTATTTGTCTTTTCTTTCTTTTCCTTTGTCAGTTTTGCTAGTGGTTTGTCAACTTTATTGACCTTTTCAAAGAACCAAGTCCTGGTCTTATTGATGGTTTCAATTGTTTTTCAGGTTTCTATTTCATTTATTTCTGCCCTAATTTTTATAATATCATTTCTTTTAGAAGTTGACAAGAGAGCAAAAGATCTGAGACACACTTCTTCCTCCTGAACTGTCAAACAGAGTGGTGACCACAGTCAGGGAATCTGGCTGCACCACTCCGCAGAGCAAGGTGAAGCATTTTTGAAGTGCAAATCATTACTCACTTACATTTATTTTATTGGAGTAAACTTTGAGGAGTTCCTGGTGGGTTCAAATTGCCAATATTATAATTAGCAGCCTGACACATTATTAAACTAAGCCACTAGAGCAATCATTACCAGCTCTGCCAATATGTAGTCACAATAGGTGCACAGCCTTTTGATGGTGTGGGTAAAATTTCTCATTTAAGTAGATTTATTAAGTGTCAAA